ATTTCTGTAGTTACACGAAACCTCTAACACCAGCTGTTTGAATTGGTAGGATCCTTGGTTGTAGAGACCTTAATTCCAGTGTGTTGTTAATCAATATTCCTCCAAGAGTAAAGTTCAAAATGAGATTTTCTCTTTACAAAAATACCTTACTGCAGTAGCCATAATTAATAGAATAAACTTTAGCTGTATTGTTTGCAGGGTAATAGTGCTGCTGACATTTCAAAAGGGGTGACCCAAATGTAACCCAGAAGCGCAGAAATAGAAATTATTTTCATTTAAATGTTTGTTCTTCCCTGAAATTCATTTTATGAAACTGTGTTAGCATTAACCTTCTGATGCAGACTATTTTTGTATGGCTCTATGGCATATGCCACATGAGCTTAGCCTCAGTTTCCTTATGCTTCTCCAGTGAACTCATCTGCATAAAATTTTTAAGATCTGCTTGGCCTTCTGCTTTGCCAAGCTGATTCCAATCTTCTTGACATCAGCACAACCAGGAACTCTTTCTGTGTTTTTTGAGGTTTGAAAAATTATTCTTTCTATCTTTTTAGAGGCAGAGCTTTCCTGATAGAGCTTTCAGAGGGCTCTGTCAGGAGTTCTGGGTTTCTTCCTTAGCTCCTTCCCCTGTTTTTTTGCTTGCTTCAGGTTTCACTTGAAGGTTTGCTGTTTTAAGAATGTATAAATGCACCTTTGCCTGGTGCTTGTTACCTTTACAAGGTATTAAGTACCAAGCCTATTCTGATAGTGCTGAAAGTCTGGTTCTGGGCTTCTGACTCATCCAGCTTCGGGTGGTCTCTTCAGCTGTGGGATTCTCTACATCCAGGAGAAAGCTGGGTTTGTGTACAGCCTCAGGTGCTTGCATTGTTCTCTTCAGTGGAGAGCAGGATGTGTGTGCACCTGAGGTGCACCAGCACAGCAGACCTTGCTCTCTGCAGGCATGTTCACTCACCAGGGTGCATCCTCAATCCATGCTCTTTGTGTTTGCTTGATAAAAGAAAAATATTTTATTTTCAGGCTAATACGCCTCAAAGTGCTGGGGCTGTTACGGTCTAGTGGAGGGCCAAACTATGGTTCCCTCTTATTTGTGAAAGATCCTACTGTGCCCAAGGGCCATTGCTAACCCTACACTGCAGAGGGGTTATGAATAGTAGCAAGGTTGTAGCAGCATGTGCACTGCATCCCAATGAGATTCTGCTGCTTTCTGCTAGGAAAAAAATAGCAGGTTTCCTTGATGAATGGACAGAGATTCACACACAAGCCACAGGATTCACTCTGAAGAAGGGGAACATTTAAAGATTAAATGCAAAAGGATCTGAAAGAATTTGCCATTGACTGGTGCTTTTTGCATGGTTGGACTTTGCTGCTGAAAGTAAGTGCAACTGAGACATCTCAAATGATTTTTTTCCACCCTTTTCTGAAACTTTTGACCATGTGGGCTGAGCTTCTAACAGGATATGAATCTGCGTATCATAGCTCTGATTTATATTCTTGGATAGAGCTATTATTAAGGTGTCATATGAACAGATGGGACATGAATGATGAAGCTCAGATTGGGTAACTACCAGTTGAGAGGAAATGACTAATTGAACTTCAGAGAACAAGAAGTCTGTCTTCTTGCAGTCAAAATATGTAAAACAAAAATACGTATTTGTCCCTTCAGTGTAGCTGAAGGTCTGTTTCTTCTGCTTTTGACAGCATGGAACCTTTATGTCCATGTTGGCAGCTTGTCTGACTGCAATAATGTAGAACATACTGAAGTTTGTTTTAAATAGATGCTGCATATTTTGAAGATTATGTAAAGTATTGCTTTTTAGCAGCTTAGTGCAACTAACTATCTTATAAGTTCTGTGTGATGTGGACTATAAAGATGGGGAAGTTCTTTACACTTCAAATCTAATTGTTGTGATTATAAACTGGAGACATTTCATGATTTTTTTCTCCTCTATAAGCTGCTTTTCTTTGCCCTAGAATCCAGTGAAAATAATTTGGACTTCTTATGTTTTGTAACTACATTAGGCAGACATCTTTAGAATTCTTATATTAAAACTGTGAAAGCTACACAGATGAATGCTTTCAAATGCATTATGTCATAAAATAAATTGAATATCCTCCATTTCCACTTCCATTAACTCCTACCTGTATAATAAACTCAATCTTGTGTGCCGTGTTTAAATTTTGTCAAGTGTTAGTGTCAAATAATGTTAATTAATTGGCATAATTAGCAATTAAAAAACTGTAGCACTTGAGGAATTTGAGTCTGAGCAATGTGAATCCAAGCAGTGATTCATGTTGCTAACGGTATAATCACAGAGGACTTGACACGTTCAGATAACTAACTGGAACTTTAAAACCAATGTAGTGCACTTGATTGACCTCAATCTATGATTGACACATCTGTGATGTGTCTGGTCAAATTTTAAATGCTGAAAAGTGGATGGGTTGCAAGTACAGGAAGAAAATCCCAACTACTTATGACAAAGCAATTTCATCATTGGGTAGGAGAAGAGAGTGAATACTTAGTAGCAAAATATCACCAGAGATATCCAGCTTTAAGCATAGGGGTGTTTCTGTGGCTCTGTTTCTATTGGTACTGCAGAAATGAGGAAGATAAAACTATGTTGATCATTTATATAACCTCTGTTTGCAGAGTTATTATGGGTAAATTATTTATTGTTATTATTATGATGGCAGCTACTTTGTACTTTCCTTCATTTACCACCAACAAAATGATGAGTTTATGTCTATAAATATTTTGAAGTCATCAACTTTGTTGCTGCTACCTAAGAAGTTTAACTTAAGGAGATAATCAGTGGAAGTTATGACATGAAAACAGGAGATAGTCTATAGCAGCAAAGATTTTATGAGTACAGTCTGAAAATGAATGCAAAAAGCAAAGCAGAACAATTTCTTATTTGTCAGCAGATAAAGTCATCAATGTTTAAGTGGCTTCATTTCACTCTAATGAAGAAATCTAGCTTTATGGAAAACATGCTCCTGTGGTTGACATACTTTTAAAGTTGGTAGTTTTTTCTTTGCTATTCAGTTTCTTATTGTCAGAGCCATTTGTAAATCAGTCTGAATTTGTTCATTTTTGGTTGTTATCCTGAAGGGAAGGAGGAGCATCCAAATAGTTCACCTATGCCAAAGGAAAGTTAAATAGGATTGTACCTATTCTCACTTTTTCTGTTTGTCTGAACTGGCATAATTAATATTTCACTATTTATGCAATTTTACTAAAATTTAAGTTGATTTGCTGAGAAATACTGTATTTGCAGCAGAAGTTGGCAAGGAATACGTTTATTCCTGTCCTCTTTACCACATTTTCTTGCTACCAGATGCAACTTGGTTATTGCTATGTTTGTAGTTCATCTCTGATAGTCTTACAATAAGTCATCTTTATTGTTGAAGAAGGTCTGTGGTTTATTCTTGAGCTGTCTCTGCTCTGTAGCTGTTAGTTGTAGTCTTACTCATTTGCTGCATTTGTGTAAGTACTACTGCAACAGTAGGTTATTGTGCATTCCAATTGATTTCAGGCCTCAAACTGTTTTAAAAACATGACTAATGTACTGAAAGCAGTTGGCCTCAAAGAATCTGCAAAAAAGAAAGACTTGTTTTGTAAACTTTACTTCAAGCAATTAACAATGAGTATTGAATGGAAAAAAAAAAACAGTCTTTGAGCAAAAACTGACATTATATTTAAATTAGAATTGTGTGTTTGTTGTCTGCAAAGAAATGTCTTTGCCCAGCTGCAAATCACAGACATTAAGGCCCCACAATCATGAGTTGCCACTAAAAATAATTATCTTCCTGCCTTTTTATTCTTTTGTAAGTCTGTGCAGACTTGGAGACTTTGTTTTGTTATATTTTCTTCCTCTGTTGTCTTTGCTCCATCCCTAACAGCTGGGAGGGGAAGTTGCAAAGCAATTACAAATAGATAGTTTGTTGCTTACAAAAATGAAGTTGTAGAAGAATTAATTTTGAATTATTTTTTTACCTCAGTTGAAAGAAACTGCAGAAATTAGTAGACACTGGAACTTATACTGGCAGGTAGAGTGAGCAAACACCACTTTATTGTAGTTCTGAAAGTATCAAACATTTTATTTTTTTTGGCCAGCTACACTAACTTCAGAGTAACTACCACTAAAAAAGCAGTTCTGTATTACTTGGAAAGATTTTTCTGGATCAAAATACAGAATGTTTATATCTTGTTGTGTTAGATTTTGTTAAAGACACTAAGACCTGGAAGATCTTTCCCATTTTTTCACAGAAGGAGCACTATATTTAAGTTACACAGTGCAATGGGTACATACGGAATCCCGGAGTGATTAAAATACCTTTAAGAAATTCATCTCAAAGATGGCATTTAATGTTTACAGAACATAAATATGCTGAACAGAATCTGCTATTTATGACAGGGGACTTGGAGTTGTCATTGTCTTTACACAGAGTGGCATTGCCAAGTGACTCCAAAATGGGCAAAAAATCAAATTCATTTGCTAATACTTTAGCTGGTAGAATTGGTGGGGGAGAGGGAGTGTCTGCTTCTGTTTCAAAACAAATGTGACAGTTCTGGAAAGCACATTTTTAAAATCAATCTGAAATATAAATAATCCTCAATCATGAAGCATCAAAAGCATTGCTGTTTCTGAAAGACAAGAGAAAATTGAAGATACACTTCTTGCTTTGGAAGTGTCTCTTATGATTACAATTATTCTGTCCCTGGACCTAAGCAGAAATTCTGTTTTGCAATTGCAAGTTCTGCAGTAATGCCTGCAAACCGAATAAACCTTTTTTGAATAATTGTTGTATTTATTTTCAGTTCATACCAAAGTCACTTTTTGTAGATGATATCTGGAGGAATTAAATCACCTTTTTTTTCCTTTAATTGGTTCTGTTCATCCAGAATTTAAATTTATAGTAAACAATTTGTAAGTATTCATTTATGTATTATATTTTGTATTAATTTTTGCTTTTCTTCCCTGTTTTTGTTTCTTACTTAGGTGTATGATTGCTGATGAGGTAAGTGATGTTCCTGTTCCTCTAACACTGTCTTAATGCACTTTGTGCAGATGTGACTTTTTTTGTCTGAGAGGTTTGGGCAGAAAGGCTGGTAATAAAAGAATCCTAATTTGTGTGATAGATATCAGCAGATATCCTGAAAATACCTAAGTGAGGCAAAAATTGAAACTTGACATAAGTTTAGAAGAATCCTTGAGAAAACTTTAAAGGTTTCTTTTTATTTTTGGTTTAATTTTCTTTTCCGTTTAATTTTTAAAACCCTTGCTTCGTTTGTTTTTTTTGAGTTGTTTTTTATTTGCTTGGCAGTTTCTTTTTGTTGCTTTTTTGGCCTTTCTTGGCCCAAGGGGTTTTTTACCGGTTTTGTTTTCTAAGGTTGTTTTTTTTAACTGCTCTAATCAAGTAGTAATAGTAAAATTCATTGTCCATACATTTAAAAATATATGTTGTATTCCATATCAGGGAAATAGGAGTTGAGCATTTCGTCCCCCAGATAAGACATTTTTGTAATAATGTTCTTGAATTGTTCAGTATAAAACCTTTCTCAAAAAGAGAATTGCTGTAGTCTCACAATTCTAATTTGGGTTTTCTTGACACACTAGGAGGGAGAGGGAGATGAGTTACTGGGATTTAAGCATCTCCTCGTACCATAAAAATCTCATTACATCTGGAGATAAACTATCTTGGCATAGAATGCAAAATATCTAGGAGCTGTGGAGAATACAAAAGTATTCAGGGGAAAAGGGAAGCTTGGGAAAAATCAAAATATCAGCAGTAGCTATTTTCTTATTAAAACAGTTTATTTCCCTCCTTGAACTAGAAAATGAGCTGTGCATAATTATGTTAGCAATAAAAAGTCCTGGAAGGTACATTTATTCCAAAATAAAGATTGTCTATTTTGTAATGACAATAGGTGTGGCACTGGAGGAAGTATTGTGCACTGGTGTGTATGCTTTTTGACATGTATGTGCTTTTTGACATATCTCTAAATAAGAAAATGTTGGTAAAATTAAGTATCAGTATTGTGAGCTTGTATGTAAAAAGAAATTATGGGAGAAAACTCAAGGTCAGAGAATTACTCTACTCATCCCTGGGCTGTGTAAGGATTAAAGTAAGATAAAACCAGTATTTTTTGAAAGGTGATCTACAAATATGTTTCTATTTCTTCTTAGAGTGGGGGGAGGCAACATTTTTCCCCCAAAATTTCAGTGTCATTCATTTCGATGCGGGTTAAAGATGGGTTTATATCAAAACTCAAGACCATAATATTTTCTCCAGTTTTTCTAATCTCTCACATTGTTACCTACCTGCTGCTCAGTTCTGTGGGATCTGCATCCAGCCCTGGGTGTGCTGATGATAAAAGCCTTGCTTTTATTCCATATTCATTTCAACCCAGTGCCTGGATTATCACCAGGGCCTGCACAGCCTGAGTTAGAGACACAGCCGTGGCAGGAAACTAAAAGTTAACGTTATTTTATTGGGTTTTTTTTTCACTTGGAATTATTTTCAGATGACCTAAGTACTCCTGGTAACACAAGGGGGACTTGCAGGAAGATTTTAATGAAAACTTGGAATTTTGACTGGAAACTGAGTATCACAATAGCTTTCCTATTGTTTTCTTTCTAGTAATAGTAGAAAAATGCATTGTTTTCTTTTGTACTTGGGAAATCTCTTTATTACATCATTAAGTCGGTCCATTTAGACTCAGTACTGGAGATGTAAGTTGTTGTTTTACGTCTCACTGCTGTAAGTAGCTAGATAGCAGCAAATCCACTCAAATCTCCACTGGACTCCATGGAAAACCTGCCCAGAGCATTTTAAGGCCCATCTCTGCTTTGGTGTTTCACAGGAGTTTGGAACTGTCTCTTGCCATGTGAACAAGCAGAGAAAATAGCTGTATTCTTTGATAAAATCTGGGGAGGAGGAGGGAAAGTGTGTGATATCTTTTAAACAAAGCCCTAAATTCTGAATCTCATAATCATCTGTTGCCATGATTATTCACAGATGGGAGCATTCCCACCTTGGCAATATGTACTTTCCTGTTAAATGTAAATCTTTTGACTCTTCCCCTTGTCTGTACATCTGAATTCTCACTTTCTCATCTGTGGTGCAGGCCAAGGAGAAACCATCAGCCCTGGTGAATCAGAGCAGTAGTTGCTTTTTGTTGCCTCACTGGGTCAAACCCAAAGCTCTTTGTTCTTCACTTGCCTATGCAGTTGAGGACAAAGTTGTTATTGTAAGAAGGCATCCTAAATTTTTCTTTCCTTTGCATAGTATTTTAAAAATGTTTTTGGTAGCTTAACAAATTAAAAAGTTTGATTTTTTTTTTTTTTTTAGTCTCTCCTATTAGGACTCTGAACTGAAAATGTTCTGAGATTAATGGAAATAGTTCTTCTGACTTTGATGAGCTAACCAGATATAATACATGTATTAATACATTCAGCTAGGAAAATCTTGTTTCATAAGGATGATCTGTGGTAACAAAGTAATAATTAAATACATCTACATAAGCAGCTCTTTGACTGGGTTTCCTTTATTTGGTTCTGTCTTTGCAAAATCTTTTGGGCTCTTCTGAATGGAATATGCTTTCTGAGCAGAGACTTCTGGTTTTAATATTGTTTTTTTCTTTTATTTTCCCAGATGGGACTAGGAAAAACAATTCAAGCAATTGCCATTTCATATTACTATAAAAATGAATGGCCTCTCTTAATTGTAGTGCCTTCCTCTCTGAGATACCCTTGGGTGGATGAGATAGAGAAGTGGATTCCAGAACTTTCTCCAGATGACATTAGCATCATTCAGAACAAAACTGATATTGGGTGAGTACACTTTGTTCTTCTCTAGAGCGGCTTGCTCACCACCCCCTGCTCAGGGCTACCCTCTAGGCTATCAGAAACACCCTCTGGGCTATCAGCCACTCCTCCCAGTTTTCTGTTCTTGTATTATAGTAGTTACTCATTTGCATTGAAGTTGAGGCATCTGCTTTTTGCAAAGTAGCAAATGCTTGTCTTCTGAAAATTAGATTACTTCAGTGTGTCTCAAATTGAACATACACAGTTATTTCTCAACTCTGATGAACTCATTAGCTTCTGTAAAACATTTTGGGAGAACTTCTGGTGTACATTACAAAATAAGGAAGTAATTACTGTTAGAATTCCATTTAGCACACTGAGAAAATTTGAAAGTTTGAATAAGTAATCCCTAAATAACTGAAAAGGTCATCATGACCTACGCTTTCTATCTTTAGATTTAATAGCATGAATTCATCAGAGAGGCTATGTCTTGGGTGTTATTAGAATAACTCTCCTATTACCCTGAATTGCAAGGGTGGTTTTTGTCTGCTTTACTGTAAATGACTTGGTTGATTTTATGCTAATATTTAGATGATGTTCTAAAACTTTGGTGTGAGGGAGACTGATCTTCATGTTTTCTGGGAATATCAGAGAGTGACTTGACTGCCAAGATGTGCTGTTTGGAATCTTCCTGGTAACCACAGAAATCCAACTAAAAATATATTTTGAAAGCTTCATCAAAGGGTAATTCCTACTGCTAGTCAAAATTAAAGTTCATTACAGGAAATGGAAAGTAAAATTAGCTTTTTTTTCTAAAGGTATTTATCTGAAAGGTACTTGGTGCTTATAGTGCTGGATGCATAAAGGGGAAATGTGGACTAGGCAAAATGATGGGAAAGTTAAATGGCAGATGAAATTCTGTTCATTTTAAGATTCTTTTTTTTAAAGAGTAGCTTAACTACTTACCTTAACTATTATTACGTATTTTTATTCAAAAACAAGGAAAGATGAAAGCTTGGGTTTCTGCTCATTTAACTCCCAGGAGGCTTCCTAGCTATAAGTGATGTTACTGTTGAACTAATTAATATTTTAACATTAAAAAGTCTTTCATGCATGTGTAAGAAAATGTAAAAATACAGCTGCCAAATTTGGTTTAGCATTTCATTAAATTCTGTTTCCATATGTTAAGCTTTGATTTCTCTCAGTTTAATACTTGGCTTTTTTTAAAAACTTCAAGAACTAAGTTTACTGCTTGAGTGTTTACTTCTTGATTAAAACAGGTTAAAATAAACTTAGGGATCAGTTTAGGTTTGTAATTTCTGGCCAAATATGAAAATGGAGTTTTCTTGAATAAACTGGTTCCACTAAAATAAATAAGTTTATTTGTAATTTTTTTTCTGTACCCTTCAGAAAGGGTAAGGGAAATTTCTGCTTTCCTGGTTGCTGCATTTATCTGTTTAGTGACAGCCAGAGTTTGCAGTGCCCACAGTGCCAGTGCTCAAACCACTGCACCTTCCATATCCAGGAGCATGAATGTGTAGCTGCATTTACTTTCTTCCTCTTAAATCCTCAAGCAAACTTTAGCTTGCTTGGTGTCTTGATCTCTTGCTACTGAAGAACAAACAGAAATGATGCCAGCAGGGCAGTGCTGTGTGACAGATGGGTAGACCAGCTATGACCCCATCCTGATGACTTGTGTGTCTAACAGCTTTGAGTTCCTGTGCTGCTCCTGAAGGACCACAGTGCTCTCTAGTGATGTGAAAATCAGTTCATGCCATGGACCTGTATACGTCTTGAAATTCGTTATTAAAAGTTCATTTTCAATTAAATATCATTTTTTCATCTTGTGCCATGTTGACTCTGTGCTTCCAGGTTTTTTTTGTTTTCTTCTTGTTCTATTTAAGCAAAAAAGCTGGAAAACAGCTCTGACAGGAATGGTTTTTCCAGGTGGTGAGGTTCAGCCCAGTCTGTACTGTCACAGTGCCCAAATACTCAGGGGCAGTCTGCTTAATCCTCTCAGACTGCTGGTGAGGGGAATCTCTGTACCCAGAGCAGTAGAAAGCTTGCACAGAGACATAACTGAAGTAATAATTACTTCAGGTGTTTGGGTGCTAAGTAAGATCTTGGCTTGTGTGTAACTTTTTGTCCACAAAGTGGATTTTTCCAATGGGGTGCCCCCAGAAAGGAGCACAGGGTGAAGCAATGGATCCAGTTAAATGAAATTCCTTTGAAATGCAATGTGTGCCTTCTGAAAATAGTTATGAAATGTGTGTGGTTGAGAAGTGTGAGATGTTTTAAACACCAAAAGCTGTTGTTGTTAGCCTGACAGCCCACGTGTCAATCAATCCGAAAGGAGACACACATACCTTCTGAGATTAATTTTTTACAATCTCTCTGCTATATTAATTGTCCTACAGTAAAAATTTACTAAGAAAACTTGTGGATTTTCTCTTTCAGGGGAATATCAACAAGCAAAGTAACAATTCTGGGGTATGGGCTGTTGACATCTGATGCACAGACTTTGGTAGACACTTTGTACAGGCAGAAGTTTAAGGTGGTTGTGATTGATGAATCGCACTATATGAAATCCAGAAATGCCACCCGTAGCAAGATTTTACTGCCAATTGTTCAGAACGCTCTCAGAGCTGTTCTCCTTACTGGAACTCCTGCTCTAGGAAGACCTGAAGAGGTATTTGACATGTTGTCTTATATTTGTTCTTATATTTGGTTTTGTTTGGTTGGGTTTTTGGTTTTTTTTTTTTTTTTGCAGATAGTATCAGTAATAAATTTTCAGTTTTGTAATTTCGCTGAATATATTCAATTACATGCATTATGACATCAAAAATTGTACTGGCTGCATCAGGAAGGACAGTTATAATGATCTAAACCAATTTTGTTTGAGTTGATTTTCAAACTTGTTTCAAGCTTGTGCACAGGTGACTCGAGATAGTGGTTTTTGTAAGAAATTAATCTTCTATGTAACAACTTATTATTGGGTGAAATAAAAAATAAAGAGCCTAAGCAGAAAACTGCTTGTTTCTCCTGGGTGGAGGGGTCTACAGAGTTATATAAATAGTATTTTATGCTTCAGAATTCCTCACTATGTAAATAGAACTTAGGCCAAGACCTTTTATGAATTTAATTTGTTCAAAGAATTCATAACTTGAAGATGATGTCTGTGATATGGAAAAGAGCTTGGTATATCATGAGTACTTAGCTAAAAATTTAGTATGAATATTTCTGTTTATGGGTGTGGATAATTACTAAAACTTCCTGTACAAAGACATTGCAACCAACCCTGGATGCAGAATTAAAGTTAGAAAGTGTTCTAACTTTATATAGTACATGGATACTGAGACCAGTATCATTGTTAAAGGTCTATAAAGGAAATTCCATACAAATCTGTCCTTGACCACAGCAATAGGATCAAAATTCATGACCAAATAGAAAATAATTTGAGATACTTTTTTTTTTTAGTGATACTGATGTTCTTCAGTGGCTCAGAAGGCAGAGTATAAAAAGCATTAAATGTCTTTAATCAGTTTTGTGTCATAAGCAGAATCTTTGTACAAAGTCTTTAAATGTATAGAGAATTATCTCAGAAGCCAGGAAGCTTTGACAGTATAGCAGCTTGTAAAGCAGGATTCTTCCTGGTTAAAGTCATCTAAACTGATATTTACCTCCTGCTACTCAGCAGGTAAAAAAAGTTGTGAAAATTTTGGTCTGCATTGATACTGTCCATTTTTTGAAGAAAAACTTAAGAATTGAGAAGGTTTTTCATGTATTTTAGGAAGCGGTCCACTCATGCAATACCTGCCCTGAAGCTTTGCAGAAGCCCATGTACCTGGCAAATGATAAAAACTGTATTTTTAGGAATAACTTAATCTCATCCATGTTTTCTTGTTGAATGTGAACCTTTTCCAAGCTCTCAGTGCTGTTACAGGTCTGAGTGCTCTGTTCTTTGAGGGCTTCCCACAACTGTCCTCTCTGAAGACTCCTGCATCCTGTGGAATTTCTTTTGCATGCAGGCCAAGCAGTGTGGTTTTTGTGCACATATTAAATATAAACTTAGCACAAGAACCATATATTGATTATTTTTTATTAGTCTTCCATTCACAGGCAATTTTAAATTTTTCACTGTTGCTGTTTTATTTTTTATACAGCTCTTCATGCAGATTGAGGCACTGTTTCCAAGAAGGTTTGGAACTTGGAATGAATATGCTAAAAAATACTGTGATGCTCGTGTCAGGTATTACAGCCTTTGCTTATTTACATTCTTAGGAGCATCTCTGACTTTTCTTGTCATGCCAAGTGAGAGAATCAGTTCTCTCTATTGCTCTATTACACCGTCTTGCCTTGAAACCCAGGGTCCACAACCACCTCCTCCATCAAGGAGCATTGAGAAAAGGATGATACTGATTAAATTAATTCATAAATGCTGTTCAAGTTTGAAATAAGTTTGAAGCATTCTGTTAAGTAAATTTATTTATACATTTACTATTGTTAGTATGAGCTGTGGAGGTTTTACCTTCAGAACTGGAGTTTTTGACTCTCAGTCTTAAGCTCATAGTCATATAATGAATTATATCTCTCTTTATTATGGGATCCAGGTTTCTGGTGACCTCACCACATTTGGGTTGGAAAAAAAGTCCAGTATTTGTCTCTGTATTTCACAGGCTGACTGTCTTAGCTAAGAATTTAATATCTACAATTTTGCATGTATTCAGAATAACAGATTTTTGTCAGCTAAATTGGCAAGCGTTTAGATTTAATTTTTACAATAATAATTACATGGTTTCATTTTCATAAAACTTGTTTTTCTCCCTCCATCATATGCACTTTATCAGTATTTAACTTCAAATAACATGGAAGATGACTGTCTAATTTTCAGACAGAGAAATGCTATTTTTTCCATGGTGTTTTGACTGAATGCATCTGTAATTTTCACACCACAAGTGCGCGTGGGTACAGCATGGTTAGCTACTCAATCATAGATGATTATCTTATTTTTGGAATACCATAAATGTAATAAAAATCAAGTTCAGGATTTGGCAAGCTTTCAGTGAATAACTTTTTCTTCATGACTTGGCTGGAACAAAACAGCCTGTGGTAATAAACTTGATAGGATTATTTTATGCAGCACTTCCTGTGAAAATTTGGGTGGTTTTTCCTTAGGTGTCCATAGGCACCTGTTTTAAAGATGAACTCCAAATTATTTCTGTGAGGTTTAGCCTGCCATTTCTGTCTTATCCCCAATGCTGAGGGTGGAGGAAGGAAGCCTTTATAAGGACAGATATAAATAGACCAAGGAAGGGATATGAGCAAAAGATGTTGCTGTCTTCCATCTGTGCCATTCCCACTTCACCAGTGCAGAAGTGACTCCCTCAGCCCCTTTCCCAAATGATTATATTCAGCTAATTCAGCTAATTGGAACACTGTTGATAAAGTCAATAAGGCTTTAAAATCTCTAAATGGTTGTGGGGGTTTTGTGGCTGTTTGTTTGCTCTTTTAATAAAAATTACATGCTTTTAACACATTCTTCTGGCCCTGGAAAATGCTACCTGGGCTTTTCTCCAAATCTGTCATGTTCATTATTTTATTGTCTCCTGGTGATGCTGACAGAGAAAAGCTGCTGTTCCTGCTGCAACCCTTCCTCAAAAACAACAAAGCAAGGAAAGAATAAGGAAGATGGAGTTAAATAAATTTGTTCTCTTTTCAGCCTTTAGCTTCTTAATGTTAGACCTTCTTCCTCTAACCTTTAAAGATGATAGCATGAGCTTTAAATCCTGTCTCTGGCAGTAACTAAGAAGGAATTCTTAGGGAGGGGGAAAAAAGGAATATCGATGGTGATATTTGCAGTTTTCATGATGGCTTTCCTGTCTGTAATATAATAAAGATTATTCTCATGGTGGTATATTCTTCTCATTAGTCCATTGAATCAGGAGTTCCAAAATTAAACCTGAAACTTCTGTTTCCTGTGGACAGTGAAGTATGAGAAGCTGGGAATAGACAGAGGATTGTGTGGAGGTGATGGGCAGTGACTCCTGCAGGCAGTGGTGGCTCTTGAGGAGTTGAAGCACACTTTCATATCCAGTAGTGTGCTTTAAAATTTATTATGTACTGAAGATTTCTATTGAATTTGGAAAATCTCATGTTTACACTCTGTATTAATTAATCATTTTCAGGTTTTTTGGTAAAAGAAGGCAATGGGATTGTAGAGGAGCTTCAAACTTAGAGGAACTACATCAACTTTTAAGTGAAATAATGATCAGAAGACTGAAGAATGATGTTCTAACTCAATTGCCTCCCAAAGTCAGGCAGCGTATTCCATTTGACCTCCCAAAAGCTGCAGCAAAGGTAGATTTTCCACTTCTGCTAAAAATACATTTGTATAAACATTAATAAATACAATGAATAGGTATATATATTTGTAATACATTAGGGAAATTACATTATTTGTAATACATTAATGGAAATATCTATGTATTGATATGTATTTTTATGTATGCATGTGTATTATATGTAGTTACAAAGATTGTGTGAATATAAAGCAGAGTATCTCTTACTGTTTTTAAAATATAACACAAAGAACACTAATACAGCAATTCTTTTTTTCATCAATGATAAAATTTGTTCTAATTCTAGTACAATCTTATTTTCTGTCTTCTTTTCCCATAGATTTTGAATCCTTCATTTACTTTTAGCCAGTTTTGATAGAGTTCTCCAAAGTTCCTAAACATTTCACACTTAAAACATACCTGTACTGTGTACTCTGTGTCTAACCACTGGTCTCTTCTGCCAATTAGAATCTGAATGCCACTTTTGCAGAGTGGGAGAAATTAATGAGAAGTCTGAGTTCAGATGCCTCTGAAAGCCACTTTTCTCAAGTCATGAATCTGATCACACGCATGTACAAGGAAACAGCCATTGCCAAGGTGAGCCTGCAAGTCTTTCCTTAATATCCCTAAAATATCCAGTATGTGTTTTTAACCTCATAAAATTGGTTTTATTGGCCAGAATACGAGATGAGGTTATTTGGTTTATTTTATAATCATGACATGGAGAAACACTCTCTGTTTCCCTGTATGTTTATGGAATAGGCAAAACCCCATTACAATGAAAAAAGAAATCTGAAGACCCTGCAACGTGTATTGCATTAACTGTTGATCACTGATAAATTTTGTTATTAACTGTCATCATTGCCTTAATGGCTTTTGCAAAAGATACTGAAAATTACATTTGACACAAAAGAATTGTATGAATGGTTAAATAGAGCAGTATTTTATTATTATGGTATCATGAACATATCATATTTATTCTTTCAGTTTTGATATATGGCTTTGTGTGTGTGGATACAGAAGTTCTGATTAAATATTATCTTGTCTGTTTGAAATATGTTTTTCTCGAATATGGATTAAAACATCAGATAATCATGTCTGAATTAAAAGGAGGTTTATCTACATCTTAAATCTGGAAGAAGTGCCATTTAATTTTATAATCTTTTGAGGATAAATTTGTGTGGGTTTGCTCCCTCTGAATGAGTAAGTTAGTTTTCTCAAAGCCATCAAGTTGTGATATTTTTTAAACAAAATAATCTGAATTATTTGATTCTTAGCAATGTCAGTGTTTGATAAAGTGTTACATAGATAACAAAAGATATGGAAATTTACCTTTTCATGTTATAAAGAATTGAAAGACATGAAAATAAAACCTGTCTTTTTGAATATTTTGTGTGTCTCACTAATGAAAACACTTGCTCACTGCAGGCAGGAGCAGTCAAGGACTACATCAAAATGATGCTTGACAATGACAAACTGAAGTTCCTTGTCTTTGCCCATCACCTGAGCATGCTGCAAGCCTGCACAGAGGCAGTGATAGAGAGCAAGGTAAAGCCTTAACAAATGTGCACACAAATTTACCTTCACTTACACAAATGGCTGTGAGCTGTGTTTGAATTCAGCAGAACTGCACACAAGCACAGCAGTGGAAGGATTTATGTGTATATGGATCAGTGCCACTGGATTAAAAGGGATCATGGGGTTCTGAAGAACTGCTTTGTGTTTAAGGATGATGTAAACACACTTGTATGTGCTTTGACTTTATTATTATTATTATTAAATCAGTGCTGTAGGCAATTGTTTCCCAAATTTTTCTACTAGTATGCTTCTGTCTATTTTTGAGGGGTTTTAACTACACACTATCATCTTACCTGAATGCTTAATTCAAAGCAGTAAAAATGTTTGCAAACAGCTTTCACCTTATTTTGATTATGGACTCTTAAGTATTGCTTGGAAATGGTGGCTAACTTTGTTATTTTGTATTTTTATTCTTTTTAGCTGTTTGGAATTTTAAAAAATGGTGTCAGGTTAATTCCAGATTCTTCTGTGAAATATTCCATTTTAAGATCCCACATTCATTCTATCTTCTGCTTTTGCAAACAGAGCCTACACTTCTCTAGAGAGAGCCTTAATTTTAAATCAAAGGGCAAAAGAGTGCTGGTGTATCCTGATCCCCATGACAGGAATAGAACAGTTCTTTTCCTATTTTTGCTGGGGGACAGGGAGGGATTGTGTCTGAAAACAGGCAGTGATGATGTAATTTAGTCTCTGTTCTGATGTTACAGGCTCGCTACATCCGAATAGATGGGAGTGTTCCCTCTGCAGAGAGGATTCACCTCGTCAATCAGTTCCAGAAGGACCCCGAAACCCGCGTTGCTATTTTGAGTATTCAGGCAGCTGGTCAGGTAGGGCAGAACAGAAAATATGAGAACTAATACACTTGAAGAATATAGCTACTGAAATCGTTGATGACTGAAGTGGTCTACTGAAGGCAATTTGTCTTCGTGCAATTTGTCCTTTTGTAGAACCTGTGTTAATTTCTTTGCACTAATCATGTTAACTGTTCTAAGCCTCTATTGCATTTATTTGAGCTAAATTATGATAAGCAGCAGTATCTCATTCTTGAATAATTAGAAAAACTCCATCTCTCTAAAAGCACTAGATTAAGGGGAAATAGATGTTATTCCATAATGAAAAGTAGTGTGCAGTCCTTGCATAATATTAAAGTATTTTTTGAACCTGAGGCCCAGGGAAGAATCGGGAAAATAAATCCATCTGCTGTTGAGGACCACCTTGACCACCCTCTTATTTCCATATTAAAATGTCCTGTACAACATGTAGTTTGTTAAAGCTAAAGATAATCAGATAATCAGTTTTTGTGTGTGGTACCTTTTTTTTAAAGAATGCATCTACTTACTCTGCTTAGGGTTTAACATTCACTGCTGCCACTCACGTTGTGTTTGCTGAATTATACTGGGATCCAGGCCACATTAAACAAGCAGAAGACAGAGCACACCGCATTGGGCAGTGCAGCTCGGTGAACATTCACTTCCTGATTGCCAAAGGAACCATGGACACCCTCATGTGGGCAATGCTCAACCGCAAGGTGGGTGTGCAGCGGGGCCGAGGCATCGGAGCTGGCTGTGCCTGGGGCTGCACTCCAGTGCCACAGCAGTCCTGTGTATCTGGAACACTGAGACAAACTGATACACCTACCATTGCATATCAGCAAAATGTCCATGTTTGTTCTGATTTAGTCTTTTCTAGCTTTCTGCTCTTCATTCAAGGTGCAAAGATAATGAGTCTTTGCCAAGGGGAACGCGATGGTTCATATCCACACGAGATGGTTGTTTTATCTTCTAGCTCTTTATTACTGTTGTTTCTCAATTTACAATTTTAAGGCATTCAGACATTCTACTCACTCATAACAGCTAGAATTTGTTGTGGGTTGTTTTTTTTTTAATTGAATGAATGCTGTTCCTTAACTAAGCTTCCTTTCTGAGAGGAAGAGGCATTTTCAGATAATACTTTTTCAGTAGATCCAAGATTACACTAATCTTTTCTTCTGTTGCCATTTTCCACAAGTATCATGCAATTGTTGTTAGCAGTTGGAGAATCATGGAATGGTTTAGGTTGGAAAGGTCCTTAAAGCTCATCCTGCCTGGTGCATTATGAGTCTCCTTAAACATGGCAGAGATGGGGCTCAGTAATTCAACAACAATTTATTTTACAAGTTCTGTAACAGAATAATTCTGTATTTGTCTCCACATGCCAAGCAAAAAATGTTAAGGCTGTTAGAGGATGTACACAGTGTATATATTCTCTTTTATCTTCAATAAATAATGACATTTTGTGTACAGCTTCACTGTTTGCAGTGTGCTAAATAGAGCACTTACTATTACTGTGTTCCTGCAGGCCAAAGTCACAGGCAGCACCTTGAATGGCAAGAAAGAGAAAATGCAGGCTGAAGAAGGTGATAAGGACAAATGGGATTTTTTGAGTTTTGCTGAAACCTGGACCCCAAATGAAAGTCTAGAAGTTCCCCAAAATGAACTTTTATTTACACATGTAAGACTTCAAACTTTGTTTTTTCTGTTTCCTTTCATTTAAAAAAGTTGTAGCAGCCATTTACTTCACCTTTCTGTGCACTTCAGACATTACTAATGGAGAAAGACCAAAAAAGTAGGAAAAAGTAATGTAAATTCCATTTTAAAACTTAGTTGGGAAAAGTGCTTTGTGGGGAATAAATGTCATCTACATCTTCTGATGGGTCCTTATGTTTTGTTTAGGTGACTGAGCCATCGTCAGAGTCGGATAAGACAAAGTAATTCCTGTTCAAATGACATCTTTGCTAATTGTGCTGAATTAATTGGACTAATATTTTAAACAGTGTTTGAAAGCCTTTCCTTGTAATGAAGATCTTCAAAAAAGGCATACAGCTTATCAGTTCTGTGTATCTCTTTTCTGGTAGTGCCATTTCAGAATTTCCAGGAGAATACTGAAAATGCTTTTCTGAAATCAGGAATGTTGAATTGCTTTTTCTGCTCAGTGTTTGTTCTTGAAGTTATCTTTTGTTAAAGATATCTTTTGTTTAGCAGTTTCTGATGCAGTCATAAGTGAGGTTTAGAGGTCTTTTCCAACCTAAATGATTCTGTGATTCTGTATTCCTTTCCTCTTCCCTAGTTTGAAAAGGACAGACAGCATGACATACGTTCCTTTTTTTCCCCCAAATCCTCCACGGAGAAGAAACGCAAAAGATTTTCTGGTGATGAATTGTTACAAAATGATTCAGATTCTTCTGCAGTCACAATAGAAGAGGATGCAGAGAAGAGTGATGAAAACTTGGATTCCTCAAGGATAAGTGAGGTGGAGGCAATTTGTGATGAAGATATTTGTGAACATGAAGCCAAAAGAGCAAAGAGCATAAGTGGATCGACCCCAGTCAGCTCCAGTAATAAAAAGAAAACATCTCTGACTGGAAAAAAGCCTTCTTTGTTTTCAGAAAAAAACAGTCAACTCCGTCCTTGTGGCTTAAATACTTCAAGTGAAAGTACAGATTTAAATAAAGTTTGGCATTGCAGTGCTTGCACTTATATTAACAATGCTCTGCTGCCTTACTGTGAGATGTGCCATTGCCCCCAGGGCAGGGATGGTGAGTAAGGGGCACTGCAGAGGGAAAGATGCATTTTTCATTTCAGTTGTGGTCAGGCTCAGAAAAAACAATTTTTTTAAACCTATGACTACACAGAAGTCAGGAAAATATGATACTCCTTAGTCTTGCTTTCCCCAAGGATCTTTTACATGAGTCTAACTTGAAACAAGTGAAAAATGCCCATAGATATAAATTCCATAAGGAAGAATATATCCTTTGTTTTGTTTGCAGCAAATATCCCTCTCATCTTCCTTGAGGTTTATGGTTATTCTGAATATAATCAAACAGCAAAACTTTTACCTTTCAAAGCAGTGGGGTGTTGGAGTTTTATTAACTTGAGCATTGTGTATTTGTCATGAGAGACATTATCTGGAAAATATGTCTTTTCTTTCTCCACCAGCTCACAGCAGATTTCTTTTACTAAATTTATTTAAGTTATCTGGAAAATTAATGAAACATTTTTATAAATATATGCCACTATTTGTCATTTCAGTTGCAAAGCCATGGGTAGGGTTCTTTTTGCTTCCTTTTTCATTTATTTAAATCTCTGGGTTTGTTCAAATAAGGACAACTTCTGAGTTTCACAGCTACAAATCAATGCCTTGGAAAACTACTTTGTGTGCTTATGGTATATAATAACTGTAATATAGAATTTCTAGCTGCATTGTTTATTACGTATATATTTTGACATTAATCTGGCTGCAGGGGATTACATAAATTAAAAGCTTTGTTCCATGTGTTTGTTCTCTTACCGTTAAAGTTAGGTCTAACTTGCTAAGTGGTTGCACCATTATAATACTAGAGAATGCAGTGCCATGGCTTTGGTATTTCAGTGATGTGTTCCTGTCTCAGGTGTGTTATTAGGTACCCGTCAGGTAACACAAATCATTGCTTTGCTTCTTTCTTTGTCTTTAGGTGAGAGAAATGGTGACGCTCCCAGGAGCCAGATGGAGGAAGGAGTGTCAGAGGAGCTCAGGAGAGATGGAGAGAGAGCAGAAGGCAGTGCTGAAGCCAGAAGAGGAAATCTGGGGGAATTGGGGGCCCAGAAATCTCTTGAAATCAGAGAACAGCAAGCTGTTGGCGCTGAAAAGGAAGAAAGCGAAAAAGAACCTGGAGAAGGTAAAGTAGGACTCGGAAAGAACAATTCTATCCGATTGTGAAACTGGATTAAATGCCTCTGGCATGAAAAAATGGCTTTTAAATAAAACCGTACATCTCCAAAACACAGAAGTACAAGCATCAGCATGAGACTTTCTCATTTTGGCCTGGGCCATGTGTTGAATTTGGATGCTGGATAAGCCCAGCCTTTCCAAACAGCTCCTGGAGCAAACCAGAGCTGACTGACTTCAGGATTGTGACAAACCAGCAGCTGGGAATGTGGGTGGTTGTACTGGAACTCAGGAGAGACAGGCAAACAGATGATGGGTCATCCAAGAGAAACAGAAAAATAAAATACACAAATACCTTTAGAGTTTGCTGCTTGAACTCTGCACCTTATGTTGTTCTGGAATTAAATACGTGTTAAATATTATTTTAATGTCAGAGTAGAATGAATGAATAAAAATCTTTAATGCCAGTATTTTTTCTGTTGTAGATAATTCAGGCACATTCCAAATATATGATGGGCTTATGTTTTGTGCAAGCAAGAATACTGACAGAATCCACCTCTATACAAAGGTAAACTTGAAATATGCATTGTCATTGTCATTTTAAAATTGCAAAGGAGAACGCTGCCCTATGAAATGTTTCTGTATGCTCTCCTTTGTTCTGTTTGATGTAAAAGCATTAATATTTTTGTATTAACTGAAAAGTACAAAAATTAGGTAGTTTATCATTCTAGTTCTTTTTCTCAGTGGAATTAAGTAATAATTCCTTATATACATAACTTCCAACACTTCTCCTGGCTTACAGAATTGGGCTAAATCATCTGGAATAGAATGATTTCTAGTGACAGTTGTTTAAAATTTCTTTTGTATTATTAGTGTCTTATCACAAAACAACTTGAATAGAGTAACATTCAAATAAAAAATGACAGTACATCCTAACACACCAAGTAAATAAAATATTGCCACCACATTTTCAGAAAACTCAACATTGGTGCTATGTGTAAGTCAGTAATTTCCTGAATAAAGCCCATTATCATTAATCTGCAGTGGTGATTGGATGCAGCAACCAGCAGCTGGGAATTTTCCAGGTCATTATTCAAGGGGAGGTCAGGACATACCAATTTTTTCTTTCAAGTGATATCAAAGTTCAGTGGGAAGATTTCTTCAAATTCACTGAGTGAAGCAGCACAGATAACTGAGGGCAAGCCTTTGGGATAGGACATTTCTATGAGGCTTATGTAGCTGGGAAAGTCAGAATGAGTCCCAAAGTCCTCTTGTATCTGAAGATTTGTTCTGTGTACTTGCAGTGTATGCTGCTGCCTAGCTTCACACGTCTTATTCAGACAAAGATGCATTTTGGGTGGGTTTTGGGCAATTGTCTGGTTTTGGTTTTGCTGGGATTAGAGATTCATTGTGCCAGATACTGCACAAAATTCAGTGGTGAGACCCCAGAGAATTCTGCTTTGACACCTTCTCTCAAATGATTATGAATCGTCAATAAATTTCTTGGCCAGATGTACCCACTGGGACAACTTATTCCTTTAAAAATTAACTGGAGAACTTTTTCAGACATTAAAGTATGATAAACAATATTCAAGAATTCTTTTTTTAAATTGTAATGAAGTGACAATCTCCTATCTCCAATCATTCATTTCCCTTAGAATTCAGTCAAGAGGATTGTAATTTCAGTTTAATAAAAGGCAGTTTGTGTGTCTGAACTATTTGCAAAAAAAATCAGATCTATTAAAAGTTAAAATGTTCAGCCTTGTTACTTTTAGGTAGATTAATATGAATAATCTTTCTTGTATTTTTGCTGTTATCTCTGTGCCTTATTGTTAATTCTGCAAAAACTTGACCTTGAGGAACTAAATTTAGTAGGAAGGGAGGAAAATTCACTGGAAACAGATTACTTTTTCTACATTGTGCTACACTGTAAACAAAACTGTTTGCTTGTCTAGGATGGTGAACCACTGAATCATAATTTCATTCCACTGGACATACAGCTGGATAACTGGGAAGATTTACCAGAGACTTTCCAGAACAAAAAAAATCGTGCATTGGTAAGAACAAGTTCTACTGGCACAGCAATATAATATTTAATGCAGAAGAAGATTACTTACTTTTACAGAAATAAATGCAGAATACTGCCAGGCCTTGGGATATAGGCAGAGTTTCATCAAAGCAATCTTACAGATGTTGATGTGAATAATTAATTATGGATTCTGTTACTCTGGCAAATTATTGTGCCTTCTGTTCACATTGCAGTAGCAGAAATTAACCAGACATCATTTCATTTCTCATTTACAGGATTAGTTACTAACTTTCATAAGTCAACAAAATAACTTCTTTAAGGATCTGAATTAAATAGAGCCACACTCTAAATAATAATGTTCTAGATTGTATGAGAGCTGCAGGCCTGAGCAGGCCTTCATTCTCACTCTCCCTTTGGTCTACTAAGTTTTCAAAGCACTGTCAGGCACAGCTCCACAGAGACATTCAGTTAATTTAGGAATAAAGATCCCATTCATAGTGGGGTTTGAGGAGAACACTGCAAACACAAGTACTCAAGTAAGGAAATCCAGATTAAAACTAGATGGGAAATATTATCTGCTTAACTTAAAATCTGATTTTCCAAACAGAAAACTATCATGCAGGAATAAAACTGATTCTTTCTGTTGGTTCTCCTGCAAGGTAGGAATTTAAATTTGTAATGGGGATACCTGACTGATTGACCCAGCTGTTGTGTGAAGCAGCTCCTGAGTGGGTCCCACAGATGGGGGCTGTGAAGAGTTACTTGAAAGCACCATTTCTGGTTGTAGGAGCTGTTTCCAGCCAGTGTAGAATGCACTAATCCATGGCACTGTTTTGCTGTAATTAGCTCTGTGCAAAGCCTGTCTTGCTGCTGACTGTTGTGTTCTCTGACAGATCCTGAGGTTTGTGAAAGAATGGACTCATCTAACAGCAATGAAACAGAAGATTGTCAGAAAAAGTGGTCAGATATTCTGTAGTCCCATTCATGCTGCAGAAGAGCTGTCTAAAAAGCAGTCGGTGGGCAGCAGTACAAAGAGGTATGTGGAGTCTGGTTTTAATTCCTCTTACCAATTACTGCAGAAAGTTTGATTTATTTAATGTGGCCTCCAGTGGAATGATGCTAAGTCTGGACTTTTCAGTGACTGCTTGTTACAGTGACAGAGGCAGCCAGGCATGTTGATGAATCTGCTGGAAGTGTCTCTTTCCCTGCCCAGCTCTGTGCCCCATTCAGCAGCTGCACTGGCTCTGCTGCACTGCACGTTTCAACATCTGGAACTTGCCAGATGTTTTTAAAGGAAAAACCCTGACCTCAGGGCCACAACAGAAAAGTAAGGTCAGAGCATCTTGTTCTCCCCACCTGGATGCAGAAAGAGATTATTACTTGCCATCAGTGTGATAATGTTTTACTCATAATTCACAGCCAACTCTAACCCTTTCCAGTTCTTGTTTTTTCTTTAAGCAGTTCCCTGTGGATGACGTTTCTCAAAACTGTGGCTCTCTTTGCTGAGTGTCACTGAAAAGGGCTGGTGTTTGATCCCTGGTGTTAAAACCTAAATGTACCTTTGATTCCCTTTCTTTCCTTTTTTTGATGTGGTCTTCTTTGACAGATATTTGTAGCCTCAGTGTTGTCATTGCTCTGCACAGAACATATCATGCAAACCATCTAAAATCTTATTTCTCTCAATCCCCACTATTAAATTCCTCAGGGTGACTATTTTGGCTGTAGATAAGAATGTAGTAAATAAATAGTTTGTAATTCCAGTAGTATCAGAAGCAGAGGGTAATATGTGTTTGTTAACCTCTTGCCTGATTGTGTTCTTCCATGAAGTATAGGAAAAATCTGTGAATGGTGCTAGAAAACCTACCAGGACCCTCAGCAGCCTTGTAGGGTGAGTTGTAGGGTTTGGCAGATGTTCAGTACAGAGATATCCTCAGAAGTTGTCTGAATAGTGGTTTCTGTGAAACAATTTTAAGTTTTTAACTAAGAGCAGTTGTGTTTTACAGGGTTTCACATGAAAATAAAGCAGGGAGATCAAACGTAACTAATGGAGCAAGGAGTCCTCCAGAGCTTGTAAAGCTTCCTGGATTATCCAGTGTCACTGAGACATCACCTAACTGAACAAAATGCCTTTCAGGTTTCACTGGTAGGCAGTATCAAACTGCAGTCATTTTTTAATTGTTATACACAAACCAAGTTACCTGTTCACTGATTAGAATTCAGTTTTAGAAAAAGGTTTTTAATATGGAAGTATATAAAGCATGTTTTCCCAAGCTTTCTTCATTTCTCATCCAGAAAATGAGGAATGTTTGAAGAGAATGTGCTGTACCAATCCTGCTGCAGCCCAGAGTGCTGCTCCCTTTGCTGACAGGATTTGTCACTCTCTCAGGTATGTGACCAGGGAGGATGTGGCAGCAGCCTCGCTCTCCAAGGCCAGCAGCAGCGGGGGCAGCGTTCGCCTCATCTCCAAAGAAATGGGGGCTTCTCTGGACAAAGGTGCTTCTCCTAAACCATCCACAAAGTAGGTTCATTAATGCAAGAGGATGATTAAGTTCTTTTGCTGCATTTTTTTTAATGGTAGTAAAATTATTTGCTATGAGTGTCTGCTTTGCTGAAGTACAGTAGTTAGATAAGAAACTTGCTGTAGTGCTAATGAGCTCTGCTTTATTCTTCTAACAATTTAGAAGAAACAATTTCATGTGTTGTCTGCTGACAGAGTTGCTAATTAACTGAGTGTGACTAACATAAAACAAGAGAATAGTTATGTGATTCAGTAAGAGAAAACAATGTTAGCTCAGCCCTCCTGTGAGGTCAACATCAAATTGAGGACACCAAATTTGCTCCTATTTTGCCTCAGAATTTTAAAAAAATGGGGACAAAGAAGTGAAAATTCCAATCAGGAGTTACGCTTTTAATATTTTCTCATGAACAAGCACAGTGTATCCTACTTTGTTTTGAGTAGGAAATTCATAGGCAGCTATAGAGATTGTAAAGAGAAACCAAGATCTTTCCTTTGACTTTTACTTCTGTTAAAGAGGGGGCTGAAACATTTTACTTTTGTATGTGTGCATCCCTGATAGAAATCACCATGTCTTTATAAATACAGCATTATTTCAGCTAATAATTGAGTGTAGTAAGATGTGCAGAAGAAAAATCTGCCTTGTAATATTGCCAAATTTTGTTTAAATGGAAGGGTAAACCAAGTAAAGGATTTCCACTGTGCAGATATCAATCTGAGCAAGGTATTATTTCAGCTAAAATGATTTTTCAGAACATAAAATGTTACACAGTACATAAACCCCCCATGAACTGGGCTGCTGAATACATAATTTATCCAGAGCTGTACTTTGTTCTCTGCCATCAGACTGCTTTCAGAAACCGGAAATGATCCCTCAGCCCTTCCTCCAGGGCAGACTGATGCTGCAGACTCCTCCCTGTCCAAAGGGTATCTGCAGGCCCTGGACAAGCAGGGGACCCCGCTGTGTCTGAGCTGCCAGCAGCCAACAGCTCAGCCCCCGCCCGGCTGCCCGGCCTGGGACACGCGCTTCTGCTGCCACGCCTGCCAGGAGGACTTCTCCATCCGCTCCAGCCAGAGCTACCTCCGCTCCAAGGTGTTCCAGATCGAGCACGGCGTGTGCCAGTGCTGCCAGCACAACGCCCAGGAGCTTTATCTCAGCGTCAGGGATGCACCCAGGAGTCAGAGGAAGCAGCTTCTGGAGAGCTCTTGGATGTCTCACCTTCCCCTTGGGCAGGTGATGTTCTGGGGTTTCAGCAGTAACAGCTGGTCTGCGTATAGAGTTCAGAGACAGCCAAAAATGCTCTTACAGATTTAAGATAGAAAGGTAACCTAGCACCAACAACAGAACAAGAAAATAAAATCCTCTTAAAATTAACTAAATCCTATTGTCTTCTAACACCTCTAAAAGGCACAGGCATCAGAGCTCTGATTCTGTAGGGATGTGCACATACCAGGGCTGGCTGAAAACATGCCAGCTACTTAAGAGTTGTTGCTTGTCCAGTGGGAGTAACTCAAAAATGCCAAGGCTGGCTTTCTTTATCTTGATGAAAACTATAGCTAGCTACTTCCCAGAATTTCTTTGTTCCTACAGTAGAATGTCCACATAGTTGAGGAGTGTCTCACCCCTGCCCTGTCCTTTTTGTGCTGCAGCTGAATGAGATGATCAGGAGCCCGGCAGAGGGGCAGTTCTGGCAGGTGGACCACATCCAGCCTGTGTACAGTGGAGGAGGACAATGCTCCCTGGAGAACCTTCAGACCCTGTGCACAGCCTGCCACAGAGAGGTCAGTGCATGGAGCCAGGAATCCTGGCCCTCTCAGGGGGAAAGTGCACTTGGGCACCTCCTGAGCTCTGCTCCCTCCTGCTCAGAACCCCAGTGCTCACAGCCTCTCCCTCTCAGACAGCCGAGGTGGAAAGGCAGCATTAAACTATTACAATATGACAGTTTCCTCTGGATTTGGGAAAATGTTGTCTTAATAAACATTTGCATTTCAACATGCTGTCTACTGCAAAAACAGAGTGGACTTTAACTGGGGGCTAATGCTTTCTGCTGGACATGTTTCCAAGTATCAATACTCACTGAACCAACCTCTCTCTTTTGCAGAGAACTGCAAAACAGGCCAAGGAAAGAAGCCAGCTGAAGAGAAGATCTTTAGCTACAAAGTATGCCTGTGATATCACCAAATTTCTTGTGAAGAAGTAAAACGCACAATACATTCAGGTACATCCTAACTGTGAAACCAATATAGTTAAGAGTTTTCCTCTTGCACTGATTCAACAAAATTGCTGTTATCATGCTGTTGGTAGAGAGAAGAAAGTAAGGAAGTAAACCAAAGAAATTATCTGTAACATCCAAAGTACTTGATCATAATGTTTTTTAATGGCTCTGGTTTAAAGCTCAATTTCTGTGTGCAACTTTAATGCCATTTTGAAGCATTATGGTTTCCTCTTGCAGGGTAGTTAGCACTGCAAGAATTTAAGGAAGTTCTGTTGAACCTGCTGGTGGTACTACAGAGTTCAATTGTATTGGGAACTTCATGGACCTAGAAGATGTCTTAGTTTTAATTCTTTTTGTTGCTCACATACCAAAACTACAGAATAAAATACAGCAATTACGACAAAAACTAGCACAAGTGATTTGTTTCCTCTAGTGCTGCTCACCCACAGAAGGCTGACTCCTGGCATGGGCCTGACTTGCAGGATTTTGGCATTTAGAATTGATGTCAGTTGAATTCTGGTTTTAGTTAAACCAGCTTGTATTGAAATGTTACTCAGGATAGGAAACATTAAATATTAGCAATTATTTCATCAAAGGTCATTTCTGGGAAATGCTACAGTCAAACACTCCTTAATGAGATTGCAGAGATACTGGTCATTTTGGACTGCTTACCTGGCTTGCTTTACAGTTACTTTAAATAAATACAGCTCTTTCTCCTGTATTTCTTTTATTGCTCTGTCCACCTCCTGCTCGAATGCTGAGCTGTAAGCTCATAAAGCAGAGTTGAGCACAACACATCATATTACATGCAGGCCTGCAATTTCAATTACAACTACTTAAAATAAGCAGAGTTACCCTTGTGAGAAGAATCCTTGAAGTTATAACTTTTGAACAGAGAAAAAGACTGTTTAAGACAAGATAGTTACATGAGTGCACTATTTTCTACAGTCAAACTAACTTTACCTGCGTTAATGATGTTTGTGATGTCTCAGTATGATAAAGGAATCACCTCTCCAGCACTTAAATGACCAAGTTACTTAAAGGTTGTGACCAGGTTATCAGGACCTGGTTATGACCAGGTTATCAGGAATTACCTGATAACCAAGTATGAGAGATTTTCAAGTTTCTGCAGCCTTTACAAGAGGCCACTGCAGTGTAGTATTACTGAAGGGTTTCCTTCTGGGGAAGAAGCTTAACCTAAATTTTAGTTACCAGTAAATCAGGAATTGGCCGGTGTAATTAATTTTAAAGAAGCCACACAGTTAAAGAGCAGATACAGGTCTTTATCATACTTACCCCACTGTCTGAGGGAACACACAACCTGGAAAGCAAAGTCTGTGACAAGATTTTACCTATTAACTTTCCTTCATCCTGAAAGACATATTTCTACTTCATAGAACTTTATGTGAGGAGAAAGACTCTGATTCCTGTCCCCCTCAAAAAAGTTTTAGGTTAACACGTGGGATCCTGTTACTAATAGCAGAACTCAACTCAATGTAGCCACAATGTCCTTCTTGGCTCAGAGTGTGAAAGGAGGACATGGAAAAGCATGGGCATACTGAGAGCCAACAGTACGTTCATATTTATTGAGTAACGTCCACAATACTGTAGCTGTTTGTACATTTGTAAAGTAACGCTGATCTGCTGATTCTCATTCAAACAGATGAAGGTCACTGTAAAGCAACATTGGCACAGGTGAGGAGCCAGAGGTGACAGAGCTGTCCCCTCCTCTCCCATGGATGACAGGGAGTGCAGACAAATAGCCTCGGTAAACAGCAGTGAGCTGCTCACAGTGAAACACCTCCAGGGTGTCATTTCCATCCAGCTTTGGCCCTTGCACAAACGGAAGGATATAAAGTATCCCAACCCCTCAGGGATCCACTGCAGGTTCTCAGTCAGACTCCCTGTCCACTTAGGTCTGTCTGGGAGAAGTGATGAGATCTGGACAACCAGGAGAGTTTAGCACAAACTAGAGTATGAACTGTACACTTTAAATAAAAATAAGGCTATTTCAGAAGCACTTGAAACAGTGATTAACCAAAAAATACTGGGCTCTGTGATTATGATTAGTAATAAATATAAATCACTTAATGTTTATATATATCAATTTAAGTAGGCTAATGTCACTTGATAAAGTCTGACCCTGAAGTGTAAAGCAGCACATTCTGCATGAATTTCAACATGGATATTTGCACACAGCCCATTCAGGTCCGTAATTAAGCTAACGCAAGGAAAGGAAAATACGCTCCCTTGGGACAGAGAGGTTGAAACCACTCCTGAAGCCATTCCAAACCTCGGAGATGAGTTGCTCCAGCCCCCTCTCGCGGCGGCCAGTCCCAGTCCTTGGGAAGCAGCGCACGCCAGTGCCTCTGCAGCGCTCCCCGGCCGCACGGGCTGTCAGAAGAAGGTGGTGTCCGCCGAGAAGGCGCCGGCCAGGCGGAAATCCTCGCGGGTCAGCACGCTGTACATGCGCTGCGGCAGCGCCTTGGAGTAGGGGGCGGGCCGGGGCAGCGAGGCGCGCAGGATCACCTCCCGGCCCGCCGGCGGGGGGAACTCCGACTGCACCCCCTGCCTGCGCTCCTCCTGCGAGCCCGAGCGCCGCAGCTCCTCCTCCGGCGGCGGCACCCCGGGGACCTGCGACAGAGCACAGCGACAGGGCAGGCTGCTGCCTAACACTGGCATTCGGAAAACTGCTCTCGGAGGGAGGTTAGAAATGGGGAACACAACTAGAGGCTTTATGTGGACACAGAGCAAAGCACTAATGGCATGCTAGGAAATAAAGCAAAGTAACCAGATGGAAGAACTCTCGTGTGGATGGTGAAACTGCCCAGCTGAAGTTCTGATGTGGCAGTGTGAAGCAAGGGTTGTGACTGGAGGAAATGGCCCCTTCTCAGACAGGGTGCTCTCCTCAGCTCCCTGCAGCTACAGAAGGTCAAGGCAGCCTCCACTTCAAAGTCATCAGTGCTACTACTGCAGTCCTGACAGTGACCTGCCTTTCAGCCTCCAACACTATTGCAGGATGGGCTTTTCATGGCCAGAGAGCCTTGCTGAAATTCCTCTGCAGAGTGAGCGAGCCCCTGCACAACCCCAAGGGCTGCTCACTGCCTCAGAGCCAGGCAGCAGGAAGGGCTGACATGCCCAATAACCATTCCCTAATAACATATACCTATGGATACACACGCCCCCACCAATACCCTAGTGGGGTCCTTCCTAATTCAAACATGTACAACTCCACACTGGCACCATCACTGAGTGTGGTAGAAGCCACTGGCTGCCCCCTGTGGTCCTTATCTGCTGCCCCTCTGCTCCCAGCCCTCCCCCAGGAGTGAGGGCAGCCAGCCCTGCTTGGCTCTGCAGGCTGTGCCACAGAACCCACCAGGGACAAGTGCCACATGTTCCCACAATAACAGCTTGAGGAAACCAACAGAGAAGATCTTCCCTGTGCTACACTCTACACAGTTATTCTGCTTCTTTCCCAAATATTTATGTCTAGAAAGTTCCATAGCTTCAGGAAGCACTAGTGTTGGGAATGCAGCATCCAGCTAATTGTTCATCACCTCCTTCCCCCAGAACATCAACAAACAGTGGTGGCAACAAAGAATATAAAGGCATGGCCACATACTTCAGCATCAGAAAACATTAATACTCACTTGAATAAATATTTTTGTTTGTTTTTTTTGAGAGGGTTTTTTTCAGTTTTGTTTAAAAAACATTTCTCTATACTATGCATTATTAGGCTCTGAAAATAAAGTGTGAATGCAGGGAAACCATTCTGGAAACACAAAATTACTTTTATGCTCAACATGTGAACACCAGTACAAACTAAATCTGGCTGCTGCACTATATCCACCAGAAGGTTCAGCTCTGTGTAGAGAAGATGAGAGGGAAAGGAGGGACAAAGTCGGTTACCTCATCAGAAGATTCAGTCAGCTTGGAAAGGGATGAGAAAAGAACCAGTAATGAAAGACAGAAACAAAGGCAAGTCAGAGGTGACTTACAAGAGGTTAGGAGGAGACTGTAGGTTTAAGAGACATCATGCACTCCAAGAACATGCACTGGCTATCAGAATTTTCCTGAGAAAACTCAAGAACAGAACACATTATACACAGCTCAGAGAGGAGTCCAGATTCAAAAGGTAATGAACAAGGAACTAATTTCACTTCTATTTACCAAACAGCTCTCTACTGAAATAACTCATGGCAGGTTAAACACAAAGTGGGGTTTGTAGCAAGTTGGTTCCTGTCCCACTAAGAAAATTTAATTTAACACTGACCAGCTACTAGTGGGAAATACCTGTAACCTTGCTTTAGTTAGTGGTGTTTCAAAACAAAACCCTAGAAATTTGTACATATCCTAAGGGTAGAAACTTAGATTTGAAAACTCACTGCCTCTCTTAAAGAGGCAAGTGCATATGTATGCATCACTTACAGGGCACAGTCTTGGGCTTTAAAGGTGGCTGGTTAGCAGGTTCAAGTTTGCAAACACAATTTCCCTAGCAACTAGAAGAATAAAAGAAGTCCTGATTTTCACTCCTCAGAATAACCATGGTCTGTTTTCAGAATGGTCCTTTTTATGCTAAGTTGCAAAATACAGATTATTACAAAAGCATTGATCCCTTTAAAGTGTTTAACACCCAATCACAACATTTTTCCAGCAATTATTTCCAAATGGGATTTCAGGCTGCTACCTTGTTATTACCACTGTAGTTAAATTGAGTTAGAAAATCTGATGCTATGAACAGGTAATTCTGATAGAAACTGAAGGCTGACTGCAGCCCATGATGTTTGGAAACCAATACTTTCAGACTAATTATTCCAAAGACTGCTTAAGAGAAAACGGCAACATTTATATCAATATCAGTAAGAGAAGGATCTCCAGAAAATAGATGCAACACTGGCAATAGGTAAACTGAAAAAGAACTGAAACTTCCTAAGCATACTGGTTTCCACAGAAAAAAATCTCATGTATTCCAAGCGTAAGCCTCAGTTTAAGAAGTTACCCCTTCTAAAATATCTAGTATTATGGCCTGTTTCTCTGCATTCCTCTGTGAAACAGTCAACACTTGACTTTGCTGTGTTAAGGCAGAAATTTGTCTTGCCTTAATAGCATCACTGATGTTACCATTTGCAGTACATAAAGCATTACTGACACCTCTGTCTACCCAGCTGGCTTCAACTGTTTAACATCCCAGCTCGCTCAGTCTTCCTTGGTCTTGCAAGGTTCTGTTACTGCCAAAATCGTGTTGAACATCACAGAAAACACCTCAAGCACATATATGACAACACATGCAGATATGCAGACAAAATACACTGGCACCGTATGGTAACTCATTGGCTCATTCTGGTTCAATCAGAAGTGTCTGCAGCACAACCCAGAGCACTCCCTTACCCTCTGAGCATTCACAAACAGCTTGTGAATGATGCTGCCAGCAGGTCCTCTTCCTGCACCAACAACTGACACCTCTGGCTGCTCCAGGAGACTGTTTACAAATCTGATGGAAAAAAATTATTCAAAAGGAAAAAGGAATGGTTAATCCTTGGCCAGATCCAGTGCGCTGACTTAAACAAGCTGTTTCCTGTGCCAAGGCCTTCACCAAGCATAATTTGCTCAGACTGAGACCTGGCAGACTCTCTTGGTTCTCTATTCTAAAAGTTTAAGGACAAAATTCTCCTCTCAGTTATCTAAGAATGAAACCCAGGCTCCTAAAGCACATGCATAAAA